GGGGCCTGCCCCTTAGCTCAGTTCTTTGGGGCTGGGGAGATGGCTTAGTGGAATAAGCTCTTCCCTGGCAAGTGCAAGGGCCTGTTTCAGCGCTGGGGAGGCTGAAAGCAGGAGGATCACTACAAGTCCAAGCTGTGTAGTGAGACCCAGTAGCAAATACATTTAAGAAAAAAGAAGTCTCCTAAACTTTAGTGTATCACCTGTTACTGCCCAAAAAAAAGATTAAAAAAAAAAATAAAATGCCTTACGTAATATATATTGATTCATTAACATTTAACTCACAGCCAACAGGATTATAATTTATGCCTGAATGACACTTATCCAACACAGATTTTTCCCATAAGGTACATACGGTGTTTGAGTGCTTAGGAACACTAACAGCACTTTAATGCTATGTTTGAGAACCATTTTACACAATGAAATTACTCATAAAAAGTACAGAATTTTGTGGCTCAAGGTTCTAGGCACTTGTTCACAGTATGAAACTTTAAGCAAAGGTTTTTCACTGTGTAGTTCAGGCTGGCTTTAAGCTCACTTTGTAACCCAGACTGGTGTTGAACTTGGAATGATCCTGCTTCCTCAGCTTCCCAAGTGCTTGGATAGTGCGTGTGCTACCATGCCCAGCAACATGAGCATTTAGACAACTATGTCTGCAGATGACCACAAAAGTATTAGTTCAGGGATTACAAATTTTAATGAGTAGGGGTTGGTGAGATGGCTCAGTGGTCTAAAGCACCTACTTAGAACAAGCTTAGCAAATCACAGGGACCGCAGTTCAATCCCCCAGCACCACATGCCACATGCCAACCAGCCCCACCCCCTGGTGGGCTGAGCTGGCCACACACACACACACATAAATAAGCAAAATTAAAAAAAAAAAATTTAATGAGTAGCCAGATTAGCAAATATGTATCTGCGAATAATGAAAATTGACTATATAATGGTGGGGGGTAGGAGTTGGCCTTTTTTTTTTTTTTTTTTTTTCTTTTCAGAACCAGGGATTGAACTCAGGCCTTTGTGCTTGCCAGGCAAGTGCTTATTCTACTGAGCTATCTCCCTGGCCTGGCTTGTTTTTTCCTAAACATTTTTATCAGTATATGTTTGTAATACCTGAATAATTGTGAAATATCAATTCATGTTTGAAAAATCAGTAGTAGGGGCCATTGAGAATGTATTTTTGTTGGAAATATTGCTCTTACATGGTTAAAAGGTATTTCATGTTGGTTGATTTATTTTTTTATTTTTTAATTTGTGTGTGTGTGTGTGTGTGTGTGTGTGTGGCCAGCTCAGCCCACCAGGGGGCAGGCTGGCTGGCATGTGGTGCTGGGGATTGAACCGCGGTCCCTGTGCTTTGCTAAGCTTGTTCTAAGTAGGTGCTTTAGACCACTGAGCCATCTCACCAGCCCCTTTTTATTTTTT